TTTTATATTAACTTTTCTGATCCCCGAAAATACAATTTAATTTGATCTCTTATCATTACGAGATATATCAAACACACTATTTCACATCCATGACATTACATTAGACTTAATTTTTGGTTTTGGTAACATATTTTCACATTATGGAGAGAAATGGATATAAAAATGCTTAAATCTCATGTATTATTTAAAACCAAAGTATATTTTCTTGCATAATTCTGCATTTTACCCTTTTCATTGATTGGCGTTCTGATGCCCATTTGAGCCAGTTGACTCTTAGAGAATATAATTTAGGACCTGTGATGAAGCAAATTAACTTTGAGAGGCCTCCTTCTCTTCTGGGACTTAGTGTTTAATGGAGTCATATATTCTAAAAACAGACTACAAATAGAATATAGAAATTACTTTAAACCGTCAGCTGTCAAAGCCCTTATTAGTAGGTACAAATTGACACATGGTCAGCACAAAATGTTGAGGCGGCACCATTTTCTACCTGGAATAAGCTTTACACCTGGCTTTGTTGTGTACGAAATGACCAAAGCTACGGAGGTTCAAAATAAAGTGACCACCACATTTTCATTATGTTGTCAAACTTTTAAAAAAGAGTTGAATGTCAAAACAAGTGATTTCATCAGGCAGAGCTTCAATGGTGACGGGTCATGTGTGTTGGTTAGAAATTAGGACTCCTATAATGTTTTTACAGACAAAGCTTTGGAGCTATTTATACCCATACCTATGAAACGTTGTGACCCAAAACACATACACAAAAGGCAACAAGATGTAAATGAGCATTGGTTATTGATTTTTGGCCCAGTTTTACATATCCATATATTTAAAAAATGACATGAGATGAAATGTTAATGCAGATCCACAGTACTTTTTTCCTAAACTACCTGGAGAGGACGCTCAAAAAACTGGATTAAATGGGAGTTTGTGACAAAAAAAACAAATATATGTCTGTGCAGTTCCATTTGTATGTGGGCCAAATATTCCTGAAGCTTACAGTGATAAGTCTTTGAGTATGTTGCAAGAATGTTTGACCTACTTTCTCCTCCAGGCTGTAGGAGTATAAAATTTAAGCCACAGTATGAGATTGACTTGTTCCTATTGCTGTTTTTTTATATATTTAATGGCATAAGGACCTAATATGATCCCTCTCATCTCCGCAGGCCCCACTATCCCTCCTTAGTGCATAAACACACACACACATACACATACACACACTCTCTATCACTGTCCGGGTAAACTGAGCAAACACACCCTGCTCTCAGCGTGGCGTTTAGTGTGACTTTACGTGCACGCATGTGTGTGCTTGGTGCAGCTCGCCAAACTGTAAACAAGCAGTATTGTCTAATGTCTGTGTGTGACTCAGTGTGCCTTTTGTGGGTTTGTTTGAGTTTGTGTGTGTGTGTGTTTGTGTGCATCTGTGTTTTAGTATGAGAGAGAGGGAGCTTGAGAGAGACAGAGACAAAGCAAGCATTTCTCTTTTACCCTGGATCTTGGCTGGATCCCAAATGAAGGGCTTTGGATATGATGGGGCTGCTCAGTCCAGCCCTCCTCGGTCGCAGTCGCACCAAAATTGGTTGTATACTTCTTACAGGGTGGGTATCAGTCAGTTTGTTCAATGGAAAAACAGAATTCATCCGATGCATATCTTTTTCTTCCTGTTTGCATGAGAGCAGCATGCAAACAACATTTTTAAGCGCTAAAGAATCTGTTTGATGAAAAGCTTTGTGTATGTCTTTTTATTACTTGAAAGTGCGGTGCAGGCATGCTCAGCCTTAAGCATGTGAAAATTTCTCGTCAGCTTTAACAACAACCAGTGCTATATGGGCAAATCAAAGAACCGATGCTGTTTGCTTTTTTAAGAACAGCCGATGTTATTTGGATAAGTTAATGACTCTTTTATGATCGTAACTTTGATAGAGAGCATGCAAAGTATATACCACACCTTCCAAACGTATTCACACGTCCTGAACCTTTCCACATTTAATCCTGGTACATCAACCTTCAGTCTTTCCAGTGATATGTTTTGTGTAGTCCAGTACAAACTAAGGAACACTTAGTTTTCAGCTCTTATTTATTGTTTTGCAAATGAAATGTCTGAAAAGTGTCAACCTTTTGCCCCACTCTCAAATCTCTAGCAGTGCCAATACATTTTATTCCAGTATTGTCCTCTTTGCATACTGTTCCTCTGTCCTTGTTGAGCAGGACGCTGCCACCACCACGTTTCATATCTGGGATCAGTTCTGCTTTACAGATCACGTTTTGCATGCGAACCCAGAAAGTTTTGGTTTTGTCCATCCAGAGGACGCTCTTCTACATTGTTGCTGTGTTCTCTTTATTGCTTGTAGCAAATTTTAAAAGGGGCTTTTATATCCTTGTTTAACAATAGGGTTTGTCCTTGCCACTCTTCCATAAATGTAATTGATGAGTTATGGCATGTAAGGACAAACAGATCCTTCTATCTGAGCTGTGGATCTCTGCCATTCCTCTCTAGATTTAACTCACTCCTCTTGGTTTCTTCTCTGATTTTTGGTTTCGTTGCCCATCCATTTACTAGTAGTCTTTGCTGGATTGTCCTTGTGGCGGGCTGATGTCTTTAATGTGTGGTACATGCTGGACAACTATACAGACCATGAAAGGACATCACAAACAGCCACGAACACACTTCCATACGTAAGAGCATTTTGGAGTAAGCGACTGCGTTGACCTCACAGTCATGTTTTTGGGCTGTTGGATGAAACTTGGCTACTCAGAGAGAATCCATCCTTGTACAGAAGGAACATCCAAACACTTTGGAACAAGAACCAAGGCTGAGATTTGAACCCAGGCCTTATTGTTGCAAGGCAACCACACTAGCAACTGTGTTACTGTGCAGTTTACCCCCACAGTCCTCATCATTTTAGATTGATAGGTTTGCAGTTCCGCAGTACTTTTTAAATTATCAGATGCACTGATTAAACAGATTTGTATTCTTACTTGTAAGAAAAAAAAAAGAATATTTTTGAAACTGTTCCCTGCCTTTTACACATACTTGGTGCATTACATAAAATCCCACTGAAATACATTGAGGTTTGTGGCAATAACTTGTCAATGTGAAAAGTTCCCAGAGTATGAATACTTCTGCAAGTCACTGTACTTGGCATGCCAAGATTGCTGGTACAGTAACTGTAAGTAATGCATACGTACAGAGCTGATCACATGACGGTAAACAGATATGTCTTCCCACTGTCCTCAAATATTTTCACATAGTCGGCCTTTGGTTCATTTTTATTTAACAGACCTTAATGCAGCCGTCCAAGAGAAGCTTCAAGCCAAGTGGGTGTGCAGTAGTTTCACTGTTGATTGAGGTGAACTGTAACATGCAATGTGGTTTCTGTTCAGACCACACACACTTTCACACACGGAATAAGAGAACATGACCCACTTATCTGAGAACGAGCAACTTTATAGCTTACACAAAACACAGGATGATAAAAAGGCTTTTACCCAGCCTAGCCCTGACAATAACAGTTATTGTACAGCTGAAGTTATTTACATGAGTACTGTGATTATAGGTTATGTTGAAGTTTAAACAAATCTGCGAAACTCTACTAGAGGTCTTCACTGGGGAAAAAAAAGAAGAAGTATTTTTTGTGTGTTTTAATGGCAAAGAATATACAGAACATTTTTCTGTTATCGGGGCCCCTGATGCAGACTTGTACAAAAGTCTTAAAGTAATATCAATGAACCTTTTCCGTGTTGATTTGGCTGTATGTTTGGATCACTTTTAGTTTTTTGTTTGGTAGAGTATGCCAGGTTTGGATGCCACATACTCATCTGTTTCAGCTTAGATCTACCTGGAGTGGTTGGTTTCATCTGTCCAATGTATTTCCGAGGAACTACTGTAGTTTGTATGCAGATAGTTTCTAATGGGTATTTTGGAGACTTTGGGATCCATTTGTCTAATGGTATGGTTTGTGGACTTTTTTTTTTACCATCTTCCTCGCTGTGTGTGGCGGCAGTATAAACTTGAGTTTTCATCCTTCTTTTTTTTTTATTTATTTATTTTTTTGCCACAGCCCCAGTTGTTGTAGACTTTTAGGTGTTTCTTGTAGCCATTTCTTTACATATGAAAGATTTTCTTTGCATAAGTGGCATGTTCTCTTGCCTTTCCCATTTTTAAGATTAGGTAAGAGAAATGGGGCAAATTCTTATGTGATAAGACTGTTCCTGTTTGGAGAAACAGGAAGTCATGGACTGCTACTGAAATGTTGTAGGAACTCTGGTTAGTTATAAAAAAAAATAAAGTAAGACCACTTAACTTTACTCAAAACATTTATTCTTTACCGGTAATGTTTTTGCCACTTGGTATGCAGTTATTACATGTTTAAAGTTTCTAATCTTTCACTTTCAGATTACCTGTCTATCTGAAGGCTTTATGTACATTTGTGCCTTTTTATACTTCTGGAGGATCAAGAGCTGTTCTTCTAAATATATTTTTTCAGTTGGAAATGATGTGATTTTTACAGATTTTGGGTGAGATTATGTTCTTTAGCTGTTTTATTTGCACTGATGAAATCCCACGAGACATTTTATAGTTTCTTGCGTCTCTCACATTCCTCACCTGTTTTCCTTTCTTTGAGCCTTTTGTCTTTTTTTTTTTTTGTCCTTGTTACATTGCTCCTCCTCCTCCTCCACACATTACCCTCTGAAATGCTTCTCACACCACACAGACATCACAAGAAGAGTTTTTGTCATCGCTGTGAGTGGCTCTTTCCAAGTTATCCCACTGTGTGGCCTCGATCCTGCTCGTAGCTGTGGATAAAGCTGCAGAAACCCATGAATCAAAGTGCTACCCGCTGAGCAGCTCTGCAGTTACCATGTGAATAATGTCATAGCCAGCCTAACAGCTCATTGGATTTATTGAGGTCTACTGTAGAGACAGCCTTGTCTCAAATTAAAGACTCGACCTAGTGGTAGCTTAACTTATTCGCTTCTTTCTCTTCTTCCTTTCCCAGAAAACCCTTTGGTGGTGTGCGTAGGCGCGCCATGGCCCAGACCCTCCAGATGGCGATCCCAAACTTTGGCAACAACATTTTAGAGTGTCTGAACGAGCAGCGACTGCAAGGCCTCTACTGTGATGTCTCTGTTGTGGTCAAGGGCCATGCCTTCAAGGTACTCATCACACTTTATTCTACTGTTGTATTATTTTTTTAGAGAAGGACTTGGTTGGGGATGAAGGACAACATTTGCAAAGTTGGAACTGTTGTGCCTCCTTGGTACCTTTTTGGTTTTTTTATACAGGATATGAAATAAATGACAATTTTTACTGCTGAATTCCAGTTTTACTTTGTAATACCCAAAGTTCTGCTAAGTGGCAGTTCTTGTGTGAATGATTTTTGGCTTATTCTATGCATGAACCAGCAGATAACAATACTAATGGTGTATAATATTGTGCTGTGTTGTGCTCCTTAACCTGTTAAGTTTAACACAACTTCTAATAAGGAATATGTGTTACATGAGCACTTCTTCCATGAGAGACAGACACAAGTTACAATGAGGTGACAGATAGTGGGGTGCAAGCTAAGGCTCTAAAGTGCTTGCGCATTCAATGACTTGCTAAAATCACAGCACCATATAGTGGCCTGGCATGACAACTGCAGCTGACTCGAGGTGTCTTGGCGGTTCTTTCTAAATGTGGACCTTTCTCCTGATCAATGTCCGAAAATAGCGACAGATTCCAGGCAACATCTCGTGTTAGCGTAGCCTTAGCCCATCTCGAATATGAAAAGTGAGGAAAAAAACAGAATTCTTAAGATTGGAGCCAGGATACTATAAAATAGGTAAGGAGACATCTGTGTTTATTTATGTAGGAGAGACGCCTTATCCCAGAACTCCAAAACAATCTACTTCTTACAGAAATATGATTTTTGTCTCCAATGGGGGGGGAGTGACTCCAAGTGAAGAGAGTGGAAAAACAACCTGTTTACCCTGAAAACTTCAGCATGCTTTTCAGTATCTACTCTGTAAGAAACAAGAAATCTATACTGTTTTTATAAAGGTCATTTACCAAACAAAAACCTTTAGAAACCAGAGTTTGTGAAAAAGACATATTTTGTTTTTTTTTTGTAAAGAAATGGCCGTTACATGATCTTTTAAAAAACTCCCCAAAAAGCCCTTTACCGAATCGTCTGGAAAACTCCCTTAACAACACTGTTCCGCATCTTTATAAATGAGCAGATTAACATACAGGAAGGGGAAAAACAACGGGAAAAGTAAATGGTTTCTTAGACGAAGAGGGAGATGCTAATTTTCCGTCATGTTTCAAATCTTATATGGACTTCCTTCCTTCTTGGAGACAGGTTACAAAAGTCTCCGCTGACCCTCGGATGACCTACGACTCCCCCACATTGATAGCCTCTCGCACTATAGATTCACTATTTTTGACTTCATCTTGTACCAGGGGGGAGTGAAGCACATAGACGGTGGGAATTACTGACCTCTGACCCATAAGTTTCCTTATTTCTTGAGAATATTGGGCCTCATCATTGACGCCTGGAAGCACTGTGAGGACCATGTTCTTTGATTTCTCCAGTTCTTTTAATACCATTCAGCCATTACTTCTGAAGGACAAGCTGGAGCTGTTGGGAGTGGACCATTAACTGTCCCAGTGGACACTGGACGCTGCCCACATTGCGTGAGGACACAGGGCTTTGTCACGGACAGGCAGTACGGGGGCCCCGCGGGGAACTGGGCTGGCACCGTTCCTCTTCACCCTCTACACTGCAGACTTCTCAATCATCTCTTCTCTGATGACCCTGCCATCGTCGGCCTCATCACAGATCAGGACGTCTCAGATTACAGACGGGGCTTTGTGGATCCTTGCCAGCTGAACCATCTCCAACACGGTGAAAACCAAGGAGCTGGTTGACCGCCGCAGGTGCAGATCCACCCCACCGAGGCCTCTGAGCATCCAGGGAACAGACAATGAGATAGTGGACTCTTATTATATCTGGGTGTTCACATGAACAATGAAGGGGACTGGAGTCTCAACATTTTTTGATCTTTGCAGGAAGCTGCTACCTGCTGAGGTAGATTTGATTTGTGTAATTTTGTTGCTTGAGTTTTTGTGACCAGGATATTTATTGTTCTGCTTGTCACTGCCCTTGTCCATACTCCAATTGTGAGCTTCAAGTGCTGCCATTGGATTCACTAGAATGTGTGCGCACTTTTGCACGCAGTACAATTTCTGGGTCATATAAATCCGATTAAATGAAATATTGGTATCAAATTTGATCCCGTGGTCCGTTTTTTTAACTTCACTTGACTCAGTTGAAAATGAAAAAAAAAAAAACAAAAAAAAAAACTATACGACTGATGGATGGACTCTAACAAACTCAGTAAATGTTTTTACATCCTTGCTGTCATTTGCACAATTTTTCAGATTCTGGTAAAATAGTCGGTGTTTTTTATGCACAAGTATGCATAGACGTGTTGTATATTTCTGGTATTATTTTACTCAGTTGCATATTTCTCTGGATTGGAGTATGCTATTATTATTTTTGGATTTTCATCCAATTTGCCCTGTACAGTCTCTTATTCTTACCTTCTGTTTTTACATTTTGACCTTAGTGTGAATTGACTTGCTTTTCACTTTGCTGCTGGGACACCTGAATTTCCCCGCTGAGTGACAATAAAGGTTATTTCTATTTCTTTTTCTTCTATTCTTACCTTAGGCTCATCGAGCTGTTCTGGCGGCCAGCAGCTCTTATTTCCGGGACCTTTTCAGCAGCAGCACCAATGCTCCGGTTGCCAACAGCAACGAGACGAGCCCCACTGTTGTTGAGCTCCCTCCAGCTGTGCAGCCCCAGTGCTTCCAGCAGATTCTGGCTTTCTGTTACACAGGCCGCCTCAGCATGACAGTGGGAGACCAATTTCTTCTCATGTATACTGCGGGCTTTCTTCAGATCCAGCAGATCATGGAAAAGGGCACCGAATTCTTCCTCAAGGTAAAGGTACAAAAAAAAAAAGAAAAAAAAAATGGGAAATAGATTTAATGTTTGTAAACATCAAGAAAAACGGATGTGTAGTGACGGCCAAAAAGTAAGCTAAGAAACGAATCTTAAATTTAGATGTATCGTGTTAAAAATAAAGCCCGCTTCGCTTCATTTTCTGTCAGAATCTACTTGTAAATATACAAGACTTAAGTATATTTTCAGTTTTATAAGTAACTGATCCTCAGCATGTGAGTCTTCCTGTTTTCTCTCATTTTTCATTTAATTATCTTGTTTTTGTTTCAAGCAGGAAATATTCAAAACTCCTCTTTACGAAGTAGTTCTTACTTCCCTTCAATCTAACTTAGCTGTCGGGCCATTTTATGACATGCAGTGGTCATTTTGTTTAAAGCAAGATTAAAAATAATAGAAAGATAGTCCCAGGAGCCCAAAATTATTCTTAAAAAGTCATTTAAAGGCTAATTTTTTTTAGGTTTCAGTTGCTACATTATATAACCCAAATTAAACCAGTCTTAATAAAGTTTTTTTTTTTCCTTTTTTTTCAGTTTGGCAAGAATAAGACCTAACAAAACTGTTTGTAAAATAATAGTTGACAAAAGGGGAGACTTTAAAATAATAATAGCATGATAATAATCAAATAATTACATAACCATGGTCATTTGAACAGGTGATACCAAAATGGAGATGCTGGCCCATAATGCATAGCTTTATCTGCCATGCACAGCGGAGGAGGGCTAATGGTTTGGGATCTGCCGCCACAGTGCCCGAGCAAAATCTATCCAATAAATTGCGAGTCAAATTTAAGGTGGATCAGTCCAACAGTAAAAGTTTGGTGAACAATGAGACGCATAACAGGACAATGCTTGAATACAATCGCAAAGATAAAATCGACAACATGATAATGAAAATGTAAGGAATCAAGCTATAACTTGTGATAAATACAAAAGTCGTAACCTCAGCAAAGGATATGACTTTGCAAAGGTTTTCCTCTGCAGTTTTAAGTTTAGCTTAAAACAGCTAAACAACATTGTTGAAGCTTTTCTGCTTTGGGGTCCTAACAAACATAGACCGCATATGTTGAGGAGGTAATTCATTATTTCTGTCTTACCAACATGGCTTTATTGAAAAAGCTGCATATGGCTACATGTGCTGACTTGAAGGAGCCACAACTTAGTTGTACTTTACCAAAACATCATAGTCATTAGGCAGCAAGCTTTATCAAATATGCCCATAGAGAGACACTATTTATATTGCAAACAGTAACATTACAATAATGATACATTTGCAATACATTGTGCGGCCCTGTTTTAAAGCGTAAAATGAAATGCCATCAGATCTTAATGGAGTCGCCCATTAATGAATGCCTACACATATCTGCACATTGAATTCAATTTGTAAAGATAATCAGCAAAAATTTCCATTTGTTAAAAGTGAGAAAATTGATATGGAGCGTCGCTGAAGTGGTTTCTCACAGTTGAATTCTCCAGCGAATTTAGGTTTTCCTTTGCTGTTTGACTTTTCTTAAACCAGCTGCGACACAATGACATGAAATGAGATAACATCAGACTCATGTAGCGCTTTTCAGGACACTCAGAGACGCTTTACATGAAATCAGTCATTTCCATTGACACACATTCACACTCAGACGATGGCAAGCTACTGTATTGTAGCCTCAGCTGCCCTGAGGCATTCTTATCAGCCCAAGCTGATAAGAATAGTTTGTTAGTGTTGGTTTATTTGTCCTGTACACATCTGAGCGAGTTTTGACTCAGTTTTAATAACTTGTTTTAGAATGGATAATTTTTTTTTGCTACTTTTCACTATGAGTATTTAAAGAAATTACCAAAGTTTTACATCTCGACGTATAAACACATAAAGAAAGTCACACAAGACTAAACTGAAAGTCCATATCTTCACTAAAGTGACCGTGTGTCCAAGCATAAAACTTATATATACATGTTTTTTCCAGGTGTCCTCCCCAAGTTGCGACTCCCAGGGTCTTCATGCCGAGGAAGCTCCAACCTCAGAGCCGCAGAGTCCCGTAACACAGACCAGTAATGGCGCACCACGTCCTGCCTCCAGCGTGACGCCGCTCCCTCTCGTTTCACGACTTAAGACAGAGCAGCCATCCAACCAGACGGAAGCCGCCACTCCTTATTCTGTGGTTTGCACTCCTGTTGCCAAGCGGCTGTGGGAGGGTGGCAGCACCCGCGACGGAAGCGGGTTGGGCTCGGGTGGCGGCAGCGGCGGGGGAGGAGGAGGAGCCAGAAAGACGGCCCGTTATTCCCAGGAGGCGGTGCGGGGCAGTGCCATCCAGACCTCCGTAGCCCTCGGACTGGCCATGAGCATGAACGCCACCACAACCGGCCTGGCAGGCATGGCGCCCAGTGGTGGGATCGGTGGAAATGCCGGCACCAACGGGAATTCTGCCGCGGGGCTTGGAATGTCAGAGGGTGCCAGCCCCGGCACACTGAGTACCTACGCTAGTGACTCACCCATCAGCTACCATGACGATGAGGAGGAAGAAGAGGGTACGGACGAAAGTGCCGAGGAGCAGTACAGGCAGATCTGCAACATGTATACCATGTACAGTATGCTCAACATGGGAGCAGCAGGTAGTAGAACTACAGCAAACATTTAATACACATGAACGTGCTTCAAAGTACGCAACCCTTTATTTTTATATTCGACTCTAATTCTATAGCGCTACATCACAATCAGAAAATACGACGAGTGTGTGAACTTAATGTGTGTTTTACTGTTTCTCCAGCAGCCGGGGAGCGAGTCGAGGCCCTTCCCGACCACATAGAGACCCGAGGTCGGATGCGGGGCCGAGACCTTACTTGTCTTCCTCCAGAACTTATTGCACAGATAGGAAACCGCTGCCATCCCAAACTGTACGAGGAAGGAGACCCTGCTGAGAAACTAGAGTTAGTCTCAGGTATGTGAGTGCGTCCGATTATTGTTGAGCACAGTGATGAAGTCCTGGAAGGAAAATCTGTGTGGATAATTCAGCTAACACATAGGTTTATTGACTAGGTGTTTGTGTTTTAATTACCAAACTAAAAGAGTCGATGTGCCACCAAGCACGATATAAAGTCGAGACAAATGCTGCATTTGTATGGTGGATTGTTTACCCACAAATCAATCGATTATAGAGGATCATTGGAAGATATTCTACTTTGCACATGTTACAGCATCACCCAGTGTGCAAAGATCTGCTGACCTGTAGTCCAAATAAGATTTTTTTTTTATTTTTTAAACTTGGCTTGTTGTGAATAAAAATAAAATGGTCTAATATTGTTTAATTATTCAGCTTTCAGAGATTAGAGAACTGAATACAATGCACCCCAGACCTCTCTTCATTTATTTTATTTTACTTATTCATTTAGCTTTTTGGTCATTTGAGCAGTTTTAGTAATTCACAATTCTGTTTACGTTGTTTCACTGCTGTCAGATACATTTCAATGAGTTGTTATAAGGTTGCCTTTTAAGGTGAGTTCGTAACATATCCAACATTATTTTTATTAGATTTAATGAGTGAGCAGTATTTATTATTCATTCTGGTGTGTGTGTGTTTTTTTAAACATTAACTTATGTTAATATATTAGTATATTTCAGCAGATAACACTGGTGTTATATTGCACCAAAGGCCCTGCTTCCTGGTTCAACCCCTGGCTGTTTCTCTGAAGTTTCTTCAGTTATCTCCCACATTCCACAGAGTTTGCATGTTAGGTTACATGCTGCTGGTTAAATGAATCAGTGCTCCATTGTTAGTGTATTTTTTGTTGTGTTTTTGACATTATCAAATTGAATTTTCTCTCTTTCTCTGTGGAGCTTTAGAAAAACACAACACACTTTTTTGTTTTTTTTTTGCTTTGCTTGTATTTTATGTTGTTTTTCTTTCTTTTTTTTGCTTTGTATATGAAATAATTCTATACCTTCGTTGCTCTAATCCCCACCCAGATGTTATCTTGAACTTGCAAGTAGAGATAGCGTGTTCACATTTAGAGGAAGCTCTTCTCATGATAACAGGGGGATTGGCACTCGACTATAAGACCGTGTTGCACATATGTTTGTGTTAAGGACATCCTGTGTGATAATCTCCACATTAGATGTGGGTGTGGCTGCCAAGTTTTACTTCATAGTGTCCTGTGCGTGCGTGTGCGTGTGTTAGTATAAACAATGCAGCCTGCAGAATACAAACTTGCTCTGCTGCGAAGCAGATAAGATGCAAAGAAAACAGCAAAATAGAGGCAAAATGGGTGCAAACACAGCCCGGCCTTTTGAGAACAACAGCAGCCGCAACAATCTGATATAAATCACAGTTGTCTCTAGGTCAACAGTTTCTCCGTGTCTGTCTGAACATAACCAGATAAACATGTCTCTATAAATAATCGGTGTTGAGGACATGTCTTCATTTGTTTGTGGTCGGGGGTTCAACCTTCTGGCATGTGCTTTTGTTTGCAGGAACTTCTGTGTATATTTCGAGAGCCCAGCTAATGAACTGTCATGTGAGCGCAGGGACGAGACACAAGGTGCTGCTGAGGAGGCTGCTGGCTGCCTTCTTTGACAGGTTCGTTTCCTCTGCGAGGGTCTATTTCTGTAAAGTATTTATGTAAAGACGGACGAGGCACTGGCTTAATATGGAAATTATTGTTTCCTTTTGAGCGCAGTTTAGAGAAATAGGACAGCTATTTTAAGCGTCCCTCCGTTCTGTTCACCTCGTTTTTTGTTTTGATGCATCAGGAATACTCTGGCCAACAGCTGCGGGACAGGGATCCGCTCGTCCACCAACGACCCGAGCCGCAAGCCCCTGGACAACAGAGTTCTCCATGCGGTCAAATGTGAGCAACAGCATTTTGCCTGTCTGCCTGTGCAAATAGTTAAAGCATTTGCTTGTTGTTTAAATTAAGAATAATAAATGTAAAGAACAGCAACACATTTTGACACAAGCCTTCATTTCTTATTAGTTCACAGGAGCCAGGTTTTTAAAATCTTTTCTAGTAGTCTTGATTAGGGGTTTTATATAGTTTTTACTAGGAACAAATTGTCTTTATGACAGGTTGGTAGAAGAAATCCAAAATAAAATCAACATTTTGCACAGTTATGTGACGTCAAAGCACTGTTTTGTTTTGTTTTTTTATTGGGTACCTGATCTTATTTGAACAATAAACCTTGCCCAGAAGTGCAAACGGGCAAAGAGTGACGACTTGTGCACATTGCTGAACATGCAGGTTTCACCCTGTAAAAGGTTTCATACTTACAAATGAATGAAAAAGAAAAAAAAAAAATTATACATGAGAGTATATATAATTTGACGTACAGCCATGCCAATTTATTTGTACCTTACATTTATCATTTAGTACTAGATCTGTGTGACCACAAATCTAAATGTTGAATTTTAGTAAAACTCTGGAGCCACAGTTCTCCACATTTACAGCTCCCAAAGTCTTTTTGGGACACAAATCGGCCAAGTTTGCACATCTACAGATGCATCTCTGGCCATTCTTCTTTGAAACTGGGTCAAACTGGATCCTCCACCACAGATTTGCAGTACAGGTCTGGGTTTTGACCGGTCCTAACACATGAAAATACTTTAAACATAAAAACTGTAATAGCGCGCTGGCCCTATGTTTACTTATTTACAAGTATATTTAAACAAATCAAAATATTGTGAAACTGATAAAAATTTATATTTTGTTGATCCCAACAGGTTTTCTGCCAGGATTGCCTTGATTTTTAGCTCCATCTATCTTCTCATCAGTGGACCACGTGTTCACGGTTCAGTTTTGGTCTCATCTGACCAGACCACTTTCTTTCAAATGCCGAAGTCATTACTGCCTCCTTCACTCTTTTTATGTGTGTTCATACCCACTCTGATTGGGAGAGCCGGGGTGTTTCTCATCCTCATGCTCCATGCGCCTGGTGAAGATCAGCACAAAGGTCTTTGATATGTCATTTCCTCTGCAGGACTCACTGCTGCTCGTTTATCAAGCCTTTTATGCAGAGTGGTGCAAGCCTTTGATAAATCTCATCTTTATTTTGCACCCTGCACTTTCGACTCATTTTTTTAAACTTGGAAATGCATACAAACTGTGCTGTTGTGCTTTCCAGGTTTAGCCACATATGGTGCAACAGTTTTTGTTCAAAAGAACAGATAAACGGTGTGTGCCAAAAAACATCTGTGTTGGATAATCCGGTCGTAAGTTACTCACTAACTCCATTTATTGAAGTATTTCTTAAAGCGAGGTCTTGAATTATTAAACCTAGTAGTAGTGCAAAATTAAGAGTTACTTCCATTGGTTTCTTTTTGTTTTTCTTCAAATGTATTTAAATCAGAAATAGTCAATGGAAAATAAACTACAGTCCGTTCAGGAACTTCTGAAATCTTATAGGAAAGGTTCGATAGGCATGGAATTATGGCTCCAATATGAGATTTTGGTTAATAACCCTGATTCATTTGTGTCTGTGGTATTTAAACAATCTAGAAAGACTGCCTGAGAGGAAAATTAAAATAAAGAAAATAATGGAAATGAAAGAAATCATTAAATAATATAATTATCTTCTGCTGAATTTACTTGTTGATGACCAACGTTGTGTGCAATTTTCTTTTCTGTGGCTAACAACTTATTTTCAAGCAGTTACAAAGCATGGTTGCACCAGTAACTTGACCGGTTGTTGCTAGGTAACCAAGAGTGAGAGAGTGAGTTGCTAGGTAACCAAAGAGTGATTTTGACCCTTTGCACGTGATGTCACACTACTCAGATCTCCACCCGCTCTGCCATGACAGACATCAAAAACCGTAGGCATGAATATGATCCCACCACTACAATTTAGTTGAGCTTTCCTCTGTTTTATTTTGGTCATTATGGTTTCACTTAGTGTTGGGGTGTGTGTGTGACAGGCGAGTGTATCGGACATTTATAGAAATACGCAACAAATCGTATCGGTTCACGCAACATTTAACAGCCAAATACGATTCCATATTTTGTGGGATGAGTGGCAATCCCATGCCCTCATGCTAACATTAGCCTTGTATCTAAAATACAAGGCATTTTACATAATTTCATTTTTACTAGCGATATTTATCATACTGAATGGATTAAGTCTCTGTAAATTAACATGCTGGTGACATCACACGTTACCGACAGCATTTATGCTAACCTTAGCATTTTGTATCATTTTAACTTGTACACTAATTATAGCATACTGAATGATGTTAGCATACTGAATGACACCTGTGATGTGTGATAACACATCACAGGTGACAGCACAGTGACACCTGTGATGTCACCAGCATGTTTACTTACATTGACCTAATCTAGTCAGTATGGTAAATATTGCTAATAAATATGAAACTGTCAGTGACATCACAGGTGTTACTGATGTCACTGACATCAGTGACATCACTGACAGTTTCATATTGTCTGTGGTAAATATTGCTAATAAATATTTACCACAGACATCAGTAGTGACATCAGGTGCTGTCAATGACATCAGTAGCACCTGTGATGTCACCAGCATGTTTACTTGCATTGACCTAATCCAGTCAGTATGGGAAATATTGCTAGTAAATATGAAATTATGTAAAATGCTTATTTTAGGTACAAGGCTAATGTTAGCATGATGGCTATCATTAGCATATTGAGTCACTAGCAGGTTGATACTACTAGTGACTCAATATGCTAATGATAGCCATCATGCTAGTATTAACCTTATATCTAAAATAAGCATTTAACATAATGTCATATTTACTAGCAATATTTATCATACTGAATGGATTAAGTCAATGTAAATTAACATGTTGGTGACATCACAGGAGCTACTGATGTCACTTAAGCTAAGTTTATCATGTTGAATAATTTTAATTTATACACTAATGTTAGCACACTGAATTGTGTTAGTTCACTAATTTTGTGCTTGTCAACATTCTAGCGATAACCTTCTATATGCTAATGATAGCCATAATGCTAATGTTAGCATGGGTAAAAGCCCGGCCACCAGGCGCTCGCCAACGTGCCCCATCTCCAGGCCTGGCTGTAGAGTGGGGCCCCGGTGACCCACGTCCCAGCAAGGGAACACTAAGTCCATTGTTATAACTCATCATAAGGGATCTTTGGGCTGCGCTTAGTCTGGTTCCTCACCTAGTATCTGTCTGCCTGGGGTGCCCCTACCAGGGGCATAGAACCCCAGACAGCATAGCTCCTGGGATCACTTGGACACTTAAACCCCTCCACCACGATAAGGTGGCAGCCCATGGAGAGGACCTAACTACTAAAGAAACAATTTTAAAACTATCTACTAAAGAAACCATTTTAAAACCGACTAACTACTAAACAAGCAAATTTAAAACCAACTAACTACTAAACAAGCAAGTTTAAAATGACCCAAGTACTAAAACTATTTTAAAAAGACCTACAGTGGATATAAAAAGTCTACACACCAAATATCAGTGTGGTACATTTGATGTGGGAATATTTGCTCACTCTTCTTTGCAAAACTGCTCCAAATCTGATAGATTGCGTGGGCATCTCCTGTGCACAGCCCTCTTCAGATCACCCCACAGGTGTTTGATGGGATTCAGGTCTGGACTCTGGCTGGGCCATTCCACAGCCTTAATCTTATTCCGGTGAAGCCATTCTTTTGTTGATTTAGATGTGTCTTTTAGGTCGTTGTCCTGCTGAAAGATGAAGTTCCTCTTCATCTTCAGCTTAATATTTATTTTATTCAGTTTGTTTCACTGTAAAAATGCTCAGAGGACGCTGCACGGTCGGCTGCAGAAACGGATAAGGTTGAAAACCAAATTTGTAATTTTATTGCGTAACCTTTAACGAGGAACAAAGGACAGCAGCAGCTGTCAATCATAACGACAGGCAGCCCTCGGTGTAACCGCTGATTTGCAGTGAACAGTTTTTATCGAGAAAGAAGACTAACGTTCATATACTTTATAAGTAAGTATGATTAGAAAAGTATTGGTTTATGGAAAAAGTATGCGTCTAACCATTGGTAGCCACAGAGATAATGCCGCACCGTCATGTAGCATGTATGGAAAAAACTGGTTAGCATCTCGTCCTTTGCACGTTTTGTTGGAGCTAATTCATTTTGTTTCTGTGCTCCACCAGGACGGACCCGACCAGAACCCCTGGGTGTAAATTACCTTGAGAAATAATGCGTTTTGGTTATATATAAAAGCAGGCTTTAATGTAGAAAAATTATCAAATGTTAAGCCATACATGTCATATAAATGGATCAGATACAGAGTTACATTTACCGTCCAGCCACACTTAGCTCACCTTATGGACGAAACCAAGTGAGGCAAGGATTGTAGCGCGAATTTAGCTTTTTATTCTTCTCTGCAATCTGTTCCCTCCCTGAAGGGTAGTCTAATCAGTTTCAGTCTGTTTATGTATGACTGGCGACAGACACACATAAACATGGTCATGTAAGCTGCAGCGTGTGCTTGTAAGCAGTTAAATCGCTATGCATCCTAGCTATTATATATGGCAGGCTGGCTGTCACTTTAACCTTTTTTTTCTCCTCCCCATTTAGTCCCCACTTTGTTGCAAATAGAAATAAAAATAATAAAATAAGATCACAAAGCATATAGTAGAAATAAAACAAATAAAATTAAAAGCAACAAAAAATGGGCAGCGGGCGGAGTTAGTTTTGTGTGATTTTTCAGGCTTGAAGGAGGACATCTAGTCTCTGAGTCCCGAGTGTTATAAAATGTGCTGGCTCCAAATGTGGACGTCTCGGAGAACAGTTGTTATTCGCCCACTCCCCTCCTTTGCTCCAGGAAGGAGAAGACAGTTTCCTTAGGTCAGGTCCCTGTCGGCTTGTCTGCCCAAGGCGAGATGGTCTCCCTCAGGATGATACAGATGTCGTTTGGTCTCAGTCCCTTTCCCCTCCATGCTCCAATCAATGGAGAGGGAGTACAGGTGTCTTTCTGTCAGGTGTTCCACAGCTGGTTAGAACCCTGTTTTACCGCCAAAGGATGAGAGTTTGCTTCCTTCTCCATCCGGCTCTGTTTCATCTTGCTTCCAATTTCCAGAGAGCGGCATCATGCTCTATAGTTCTCTCCTCCTCTTTTGAGTATTTCAATCCGGTTGTCCTGTTGCCCCTCCATGGGTGGCTCTGCGCTTCATGCTGCCCTGTCACTGATTAGTGCAGGTGGGTGGATAGTTGGAAGCTCCTCTGGGAAAGAGGTTCTGGCTGCCCCTGGTCCAGATCCCCTGGCACCTCAGGTTTCTCCTCCGAATGGTCCTTGCGCTGTGCGGAGTGGACCCAGGTGCCCCTTCCTTCGACCTTTACAGTGGTGTGGGTCCCCAGTAGGACCTGATTTGATCAGTGTTACCGATAGTAACACAGGTGTTACGCCAGATTTATCAATATCTTGCTTTAGATTTTTTTTTTATCCGATTACTCAATTAATCGTAAGAATAATCGATAGATTACTCGATTACTAAAATATTCTTTTACAACAGCCCTACCTTATTGCCATATTCCAGCAAAGCACGTCTTCTTACCACCTTTAAGACCATCCTTAATGGCAAAACCAATAGTTGTCATGTAAATCCATTCTACCAACTTAACTTTGGATCTCTACTGCTCTTCCAGAGTTATCAGATTCTCTAATTAAGGCTTCCCTGTTAGATGGATGGCCATATTGTGCTAGGTTTTCACTTTTGCCATACTTTTACTATTTCTGGATGTTCCTTGGTCTTAATGACACTCATTCTCCATTAATATCTTGAGGACATTTGTCTTTATTCTACAATTGTGACACCAATGTGACTTTTGAAGGAATTGCTGGTAAATAAAGAAGTGTGCTACCATCTATCACAAAGTCCAATAAATTAAATGAACATTTGTGATGAAATGTGAGGGCACCGTGCATTTTGTAGCCACGATCTACTAAACTCCATCGAACAGTGAAGTCTTGAGTTGTTCTGAGAAGACGCAGAAATGTTCCATCTCATTTTACTAGTGAGTGTGACTCAAAGGATTTGTCTGTGGGATTTCCCATTTTCAGCGTCACCCCAAATCTTTTAACTATGTGGTTTAATGTGATAAGTTCAGTATTTTTTGGAGATTTATCTTTAGGAAGGGTTTTTCTTTCTTCTTCCATGGCTGTCAGTTAACAGATGGCTAAGTGAGTGTCTGATATCTGGATCAATACATAGATAAAATAGGTCAACAAGTCTTAACAAAGCTCTATGTAGTCATTTTTTAAAAGTTGTGTCAGCTGCAGAAGTGAGTCATTTCAGTGTGAGTTCCAGTTATCCTCAATGACCTACAGCACCTGAAAAGACTGACTTCTAGTTTTAGTCACTGTAGTTTAACACGTATAGATTCACTGCACAAACATTCTGCGCTAAAATTGAGTTGTTTTCAAGAACATATGATGGGAGCAGAAACGTGGTCTCAGATTAAACAGATCTGAAGTCTGTGTAGCTGCAGAACTATTTCAAGATAGTATCACAAAGGAAATTGAAGAAACTACGTACTCTGTGCGAAATATTTATTTTTTATCAGTATGTTTTTCAGTGAGGGCGGGACTTGAATATTTTACTTAAAGAATTCCCAAGCATTTAACTGACAGTTTTCAATCTGACTGTTTTCTTTCATCTCTTAAGGTTTGTGGGGAAAAAGCAGCTATGCAGGCTGTCCCACCTACTTGCACCTTTGCACGCTGGCGATGCACCAAAACCGCAGGGGTGGAAAAACGAATCTGTCACATCTGTAGAAAAGTCAAGTGTCTGCCTAAGTGGGAGGGTGAAATTTTGCTTGAGATTATAATAGTGACAGGTTGATAAATGAGCTTAAAGTCAGACCCTGTAAAGTTAGAAAACTAGGGAGTTGTCTTTAAAAAATAAAAAATAAATTTTATTTGAGTACATTTAGTCATTTGGAAAAGCAATCCCGTATTAACAGATATAGGTTTCACATAAAATCAAGGGCACCCCAAAGTATTTTCACTTGTGCGTCCCTTTGTGCAACACTTTTATCAGGTTAAAGCGTGACAGGTGTTTCTCCAGCGAGCCTAACTGCGCCTTGTCTGTCTCAGTTTATTGCCAGAATTTCGCCACGAGTTTCAAAGAGAGCGAGATGAACGCCATCGCAGCGGACATGTGCACCAACGCCCGCCGCGTGGTGCGAAAGAGCTGGATCCCCAAGCTGAAGCTGCTGATGGCCGAGAGCGACGCCTACTCCTCCTTCCTCCCCGACGGAGTCAAGACGGAGGACGAAGCCCTGGGGGCGGACCAGGCCTTCGAGCCCGCCTCCCTGGAGGCCGGCGGCGGCGCCGGCATGGAGTCGGGCGGCTCCTCAGGTGAATCTCTGCCAGGCGTGGGCGGGGACGGAGGACCGTTGTTCTAAAACGCTCAGCCACCCCCCCCGGAAAGGTTTAAGTCCGGTGACGCACGTACCAGTATTCCCCCCCACATCCCAGTTGTGCTTGCCTCCTCCTCACTCTTTGGCCCCTCCCTGATCTCTCTTTACATCTCTGCTGTCTGTACAACAGTGCTTGGGGGCGACAGCCGTCACTCCGTTATAACCAGGACGTAAAAACTCACAACTTATTTTTTTTTTGCTTTATGACTGTAAAACAGAGTTAGTGGAGTAAAAGGAGAATGCGTGAGGGTTTGTCCTCTGCCTCCCCTCGTCTCCTACGGTGTGTAAGTGCAGCCACGGTTGCATTTAAGATACATTCCCCGAGGTGCCAGGCAGGGGGCGCTGCCTGTGCAGCCAGAGGAAGAAAGGAGAGATGTTTTGGCAAGCTGGGAGCAGAGGTGACAAAAAGAAAAATATGAATGTAAGAAGTGTCGCTGGCTTTCTTTTTTTTCGTCTATGCAAGCCTGACAACTTGTGTTCCAGCCTTGGAAATAGAACTAAATTTAATTGTATTAAAACACAATAACACTACTTATTCCTCCGTACATCTTCCTCTCAACCCACCTCACCTCAGAGTGTTTCACTGTGCCGCATATTGTAGAGATATTCTCATCTTTTTTTGTAAACGTGCTCGCATGTTTGTGTCTGTGAACTGAAAATAAAAAATTGGGGGTGGGAGGAGGGGGAGCTTTTTACTGAGACGATTGTAAAGAGGACTGAGAGGAAACAGGTAAACAAAGATGGTTCTATTTTCAGAAGAAAAACTATATTTATACAGGCGCCCATGCCTAAATCGGCATGAGCGGCGAGAGCGAGAGGGATTGTTTTAAAATCTCCACGTACGTAAGCTTCTGTCGAAAGAGTTACTGTCAAATGAGAGGAAAAGTGCTATTTTTGCAGGAGTATGACAAAGGAGTCTTATGATAGGAATTTGTGTCATTTATTTTTAGCTTTATTTTCAAATGAAAGAGATGGAATGAGCAGTTGAACTGCTAAAATTTGACACATTTCGTCTTCTGTTCACCAGCCTGAAAGGAAATAATTTAGATCTCTTTAGTTGGATTCCACTGTCCGTTAAAACCCTTCGTTAGGTGGTGGATCTGCAGCTTTGACAAACCGCTTGCTTCACAATCCTGAAGATCACTTGCAGAAACTCAAAGGTTATATTGATCTCAAAAAAACAAAACAAACAAAAAAAAGAAAAAAACAACCTGTTAGCTTTGTCTTTGTACAGAAATTACAAAAAAAAAGAGTCAGTAGTAGTTATCAGACAAAAGAATGTGCCTTTTAACTGAAAGCAGTAAGAAAAAAAAAAGCGAGCTATTGCTTGAAGTAAACCGATTTTAATGGTACTATCTGTGTGTGCCACGTAGTTCTTTGGTGTGGATTATGCAGATGTGTGTCAGTATCTTATCCGTCGCACCTCTGCAATGTAGGAACTCGGAAAGGCTTTTTTTTTTTTTTTGGAGTTTGAGATGACTTTGCACCTTCCATGAGAGACGGAGAGAGAAATGTGGGTGGTTTCTGCACCTTAATGAAAAGAACCAGTGGTTCGTGTGTCTTTTTTGAGAAACGTGTAGCAATCAAACCCCCTGTAGGTGGAGTATGTCTTTTGATTTATCCCTCCCTTTGCCTGCCTGTGTTTCTTGTAGATGACCAAGGAGACTGTTGAGTTAAATCCCAAGTGTTCTTCCTGTTTTGTTTTTTCTTGCACCTGATTTGTCTGATTAGAAAAAAATGTCGACAACCAATGTTCTTTTTTTTTACTTTTATTTTTTGTTCCCCCCCCCCTCCCCCAAATCTGAAAGTTTGTTTGACTGAAGCCTTTTTGAATGCATGTCAGTACAGGGGCCTCACTTTTCCTGTTGCAGGTGAACTGACTTAGAATGTGCCGTTGACCTTTTTATATTACTTTGCAGGTGATTACGGGGGGAATCCGTGTTTCTTTTCAAAATGCAGTTGAATCTGAAGTGCTTTTTTGTCTTGCAGATTACATTGCTGGGAGCGTCACAGATGCATAATAACTCAACCTCTTTTTGTCATTGTTCTCAAAATGTAAGACTTGACTTAGCTCAACTGGGGTCAGTGTAGAGAATTTTCTTTTTTTTTTTTTTTTTTTTTTAAATGCAGTATTGTATAAGGGTGACAACTTCAAAAACCTCACTTTTTTTGCTTTCGACTGTAAGTGCCATGTGGGCACGCCTTCCCCCTCCCTTACCCTGTGTACCTCTCCACCATCGTTGAAGACCGTTGTGAGCTTCCTGTCCTTCACGCTTCAAGCTGGTGTCTCGTTTCGCTTCCACCGGCCTAATCATGCGTTTCTGAGAGGCAAAGAAGAGGTTCAAGCCGTGCGGCCAGAATTAGAAGTCGTTTGTTTATTTTCGTCAAGTGCAGCACAAAGAAGCCTTTGCAGCGAGCTTGTTGCAGACAGGTTCACGCCGCATAGTGACCCACTGAGCCATTTGTGATCTTTTCTGATTCGTAGTAGATTGACTAATCGCCGGTGAGTCACCCGTGTTGGTACGACACTCCGGCCCAACCCAAGTACACAAAAATCTCCACATCCTATCAGGTCTCTAGATTAGATGACTGATAAACGCCGGTTTAGGCTCAAGTGTAAAGAAGTATGATGTGTCAGCTTTCAAAGGTCCCTTGCTCACAATGTTTTATCTCATTTACTGAGAACTGAAAGCTTTTTTCTTTTCTTCCTTTCTTTGTTTTTGCTTGTTGAACATTAAGAGCAAGCTGTAATTGGCGTAGTTTTTATTTCTCACGTCCCTGAACATGTAGATCTACACACTTGAATGAATAAGGTGTGGCACAGCATGAGGAGTCTTTTTGTCTCTAAGCAGTACATATATAAATACGATTCTATACATGTATAGATACATACTGTATATTATATATAGACACACACATAAGGATCAGATTGTTTGTTGTGCACTCGCAGCATGAGGTATATATTTACCCAGAAACTAGGCGCATCCTCGCCGCCCCTGCTCTCTGCCCTCTGTAACCCTGTAGCACCAGTGGACCTCCTGTACTTCTCATCCTCCTTCTTTCTGTGTTCAAAGTGCCAATAACTTTGTGAAAGCCCTGTAACTGTGACCCAACGTTATCAAAGATAATTGCACATTAACAACTGTAAAATAAATGCAAATTATAGAAATGGAACTCAAAAAGAAACTTGTCATGAATTAAAAAAAACAAACAAACATCCTAATAAAAGATTTGTAACGATTTGTTTTTCTTTTTCTTTTGCTTCTGAATCTTTACCTCATGCTCATTTCAATGCACAAACACGAAGATGCAGCTTTTTTAGCACACTTCACTGCTCTCTCTCATGGAAGCTGTCATGTGTGACCAGATTTCCATACTATGTAAAAAATGTCCAACACAGCTGTTGCTCCCTTCATTTGGTCTGGAGTTTGGTTTTTCCGCTCGATAAACTTTGGCTTTGCATAACCGGATGGGAATAAAAAGCCTCGTCAGGTGATAAATATGTTATGTTTTCATGCTGAAATAAATTCACTGCTGCATAGAGTCACTAGGATTTCAAATGTCACATTTTTATATTGTTTTAATTCGGTTGAGTTTTTATTATTACTGTGTGTCTTCACAGATCTTGCAAAGCATTGCTAATTTTTGTCTTTTGTTGTCGTTTGGTAAAGATGCAGAGTAACCCGTAAAGTAAATTTATCAGTCTCATTTGTAGCATGATCTGGAATGGAAAATTAAAAAAATAAAATGAACGGTAACCTTTCATTTTAATGTATTTCTTCGGAGTTTGAAACATCTGCTAGGAAATAACAGAAGTTTCCTGTAAAACAGATCCTACTCATGGACTTTGATTTATTTATATTCTTCATGTGGGAAATATTTTTGATCTAAGGTAGATTATGAGACTGAACTTTAGCTACTTTCTTTTATATTAAACTATACTTTTCATTTCATTCAGTGATCAAGTTCCCAGAGTTTGGAGGAAGAGTGGAAAAGCACAGAATCCAAGATGTGTAACATCCAAAAGTTTCCACAATTCATCATGACTTAGCTAAATTTGCTGCGTTGCTTTTATCGAGTCCAAAGTCAGCATAGTCGTCTTTTAGCAGTCTTCCTTCACCTGACAATCTATATGCAGCTGCTAATTTATTTTCCAGCAGCACTTGGCACCTACCAACACTACTAGAAATGCCAATACATGGTGTAATAAGCATGTCACCATTCTTTATTGGTTGGCACACTAGCCAATTGAAGCCCCACAGACAGGTTATGGAGTATTGCTAAGAAAAAGAGGCGAGACATCAGAAGCAACCTGGGTTTCCTTAACACGGCAACACAGCCATAGCAAGATGGACGATAAACCACGCCACACTGGGTCAGTAATCTGTGCAAAAGACGTCCAAGAGGAACGTTCACTAGGCTGACATGTCTGTATTACCTGGAGGTCTTCTGTAATATTCAAATTTTCTGAATGTCGGATTTTCATTAGCTGCAATCCATAATCATCAAAATGAACAGAAGTAAACGTTTGAAATATGTCACCTGGTGGGCAATGAATGAGTATGTGAGTTTCACTATGTGAATTAATTGACTCAACAGATCTACTCGTATAGGAAACTGACTGACATTAGGGAGGGAGATGAAGTTACCACTGTTGGTCACCGATTGCTAGTTTTTTAATAAGTTCACGAGTCTCAGGATTTCAGACTGTATTTATTCTGGCTTCTAGTCAGTTCAGGTCTTACTGGTATGCTACTGGGTAGAAAGGTCTATGACTGCTACTACCACTGCAACTAGAATTATATAATTGTGGAGGTTCGTAAGCATTAATATGAAGAATATGTTTTCATAAAATAGCATGAAGATAGTTTGTGCAATACATGTAATTGGCCTTAAAATTGTGTCTGAACAATGTAGAGAGGAAATGGATATTTTGAAAAGAAGCAAAGGAAGCAACAAGAAGCCATGATGGAGTTAAAATACAATGTACACAGCAGCTTTGAGCATGCACATACTGCATGGTAAAACCACAATACCATCATCCAGAATCATGAAACACATTTACTCTAGGACTTTCAGGTTTTGCTAAAGGTTGAAAAATACATAATATTACTGATATTACAAGGCAAATACAGTGGATGGGGGCTGCACAGTGGTGCAGTTGGTAGGGCTGTTGCCTTGCAGCAAGAAGGTTCTGGGTTTGATTCCTGGCCCCGGTCTTTCTGCATGGTGTTTGCATGTTTTCTCTGGGTACTCCGGTTTCCTCCCACAGTCCAAAAACATGACTGCCAGGTTAATTGGCCTCTCCAAATTGCCCCTAGGTGTGAGTGTGTGTGTGTGTGTGCATGGTTGTTTGTCCTGTGTGTCTTTGTGTTGCCCTGTGACAGACTGGCAACCTGTCCAGGTTGTACCCCGCCTCCTGCCTGGAGATTAGCTGGAGATAGGCACCAGCGACCCTCCCAACCCCACCAAGGGCAAAGGTTGTAAAGAAAATGGATGGATGAAGTGGATGGAGTCATTGTCCTAAACTGGTACTCATAGTTCAGAAATTGCTGACACAGTTTGGCCCATGTAATAGAAATATAAACTAAACTACCTGCTAGTGTTAATATGGTAAACTTATATTTTCCTGTTATTTTTTGCTTCATGTCCTTTAGGCTCCATAGGCACCAATCACTGTCAATGCAAAGCAAAACACAGGTGTTGTTTGTTGCTGCACCACCTAGTGTTCAAGTGTTGTCTAGACGGCATGAGGCAGGAAATCATGATCCACAGACTCCCTATAAGAAAGTTCAGCAGTGCTGGCCAAAGGTTTTATCAGGGCTTGAACAGAATTTGATTTGATTTGTCCAATAAGGTCTATAGTGTTCAAAGAAAGAGAGGACATTGAAGCAGCTCTGCTGCCATAAAGGAGCCCACAGAGGAAGCATTTTTGCAATGACAGAGTTGGAAAAAGCAGAGCACAAGCTGAAGAAACTCACCCATAAAATAATCCTGGTACCAGAGGCAACACTCTCATTCCTGGAATTCCCTCAAGCAGATGTGTTTCTTTAATGAATCCAAGAACATTGAAACTATTGTTTTTTTTTATGCCACACAAAGAGTTGAAAATATTTTGTATGATATTTTCTCTTCAAAAAGACACTAAAGCCTGCTGGCTCAGAGAGAACAGAAAAAAAAGAGGTTTTACAATGTAGTAAGGTCATACATGCTGCTTGATGCCGATAGTATGCATTCTCCAACATTTTTTATGATAAAGTATTATTCAAACAGAATATATTAGACCCTATATAATGAAATTATTTTTAAACTTATATTTTTTTTTGTTAAATAGAACCTGTTTATTGATCAGTTATAATCATATTTGCAATAAATTGCTGCTGTTTTAATAAATCCATACAGTCTTTAGTAGAGCTCTTTACACCTTGACGGACTAACATACATAGGAAAGGTTGATTCATTTTATAAATATGAAGAAGCGGGGTGATGCTGACATCTGGTGGACACATGTGAGCACAGCAGATTGTTGTGACAGCTGTTCTGTGATTTGTATGTAGATCACAGTTCACGGATTGGCCAGCTACCGGCAAACTTTGTCCCATCTCATATTGTGTCACTGTGGGTAAAAATGATAAATGACAAACGACATTTGAAAAGTATTTGTTTCCATGTTCAAACTTTGCTGCAATAGCTCAAAGTCTGCGCTTTTGTCGTGGAGAAGTGTAGCATGACATCTATGCGCTTCCTTTGGACACTTATTGCCCAAATGTAGCATGGTCTAAATTAAAATGCTCTCTTTTTTAAACTGTGTCAGTGGATCAGATGCAGGAATATGATCACAATTAACTTGGGTTTGATATGCCTTTTATTCAAGGATAAGTTCTACTTTTATTTTTCACCTTTAGAGCATTTAATTCTCACACGGCTGAGAGTTTCTCTGATGTCTGTTTGGCCTCATTAAAAGCAAAACAACCCTCTGGGAGTTAGTGGGTCTCAAAAGAATATTTGATTTGACCTGATCGGAATCCTGGAGTCGTGCCATACATTGTTACTCCTTAACTTTGTCGACAAAGAGCCTACAGAGGAACATCCTCGTCCCATTGGACAATCAGAAAAAGAAACGTTGCCTTCTGAAAACAATCACGAGTTCTGCAAAGAGCACAACAAAAGCAATTTTAGGTTTCACACTCACACACACAAAAATACATATCCATTTAATAAATTAGAATATCACCGAATAACCCATTTGTTTTAGGAACTTTATCAATAAATGAAACACATTGTATAGATGAATTACACACAAATGGATGTTTGGAAGGCTTTTCCTTCTGTTAGTTGTGATGATTTTTCACTTACAGTTAAAAACATGATGTTTCAAATTAGGATATTACATCAGACCTATAAAATTAACTATTTTTAAAAACAGAAATGTGGACTTGATGACAAGCATGCTTAATACATGCTTACTATTTTCAGCTTTTGTTGTGACAAAACTCATTGGGATGTAAATTCTTAAACGTATTGAATATAACTGTGGACGCATCCTCTTAAAATATCAATCCCAGTCTCTCATTGCATCAAATTAACCTTTAAAATAGTCTAGTTCCTAATTAACACACTACTAGGTGATTTAAAAATATAAAAAAGTACCAGATCAACATCAAATAAGATTTTGCTCATAGCTTCAAAGATGCTGTGGCTGCATGGCTGGAATATCAGGAACCCAAGTCTGATGAAATGTGATTAAGGCTCTGACCGCGATCTACTTTCAGATACATGAAGTTATTCCATATGTTTTTTTTTTGTTTTTTTTTTAAACTACCAACCTTATAAATATGTAAGCGCTAAGACACTTTGATTTGTTCGTAGACCCTCAGTTTGTCGCAGTGGAGTTGACAAAGCAGCTAAACGTGATTTGAGTCTTGAAGTCAGACTTGCATAAAGTCAAAAAAAAAAAAGAAAAATCCTGTAAGGCCTCACTGGAATAAGGTTGGCACGATGATGTACATTTCATGGTTGACAAGGTGGAGCATCATGAGGCTCAGAGGCAGAGCAAGTGAACCATTAGGTGAGGCTGAATCCTTGACACACTTGTCCTAAATTGAGTTCTGGCCGTGGGCTGTTTGCTCCATGTCTCTCCCTTCTCTTTTGACCCTTCTTCCTGTCTCGCTACTTACTAATAGACGCCTCTAGTGCTAAAAAAAATATATATATTTTAAAAGAAAAGGATGAATGTTCAGCATTGCTTTCCATTCATTTATCAGTCTCAGCACAAACTCTTGCAGTGAGTGTGACTGATAATTGATGGTGTTAGGCGAAGCAAGGCCTCCATCTTGTGGACAGTTTGTCTATCGCAGCTTCTTATTTCTGCAACAAAGTTCAGCTTGGCTGCTTTTGTTCGTGATGCTGTTAATAGTATGTGAGTAAAATTATGTAAACTTTATTTATGTAGCAATTTTTGCAGATATAAACCACAATGCTTTACAATAAAACCAAGCATAAAAACACAAAAAAGTAAAACCATAACAAGATCAAAACAGATCATGTGTAACATAATACAACAGAGTTCTTTGAATACGAAGTATTTTTTGTAGCAGAAAAAAAGAATGACCGAATAAAAAGTAACACCAATGTTTCTGAGGTTTTGTTTGCAAAAAGAGGCCAGTACACAAGTAAATTATTGCAAACTTCTACAATACAAGAGCTAATAGCAGGAAACATATTTCTAAAAATAAAAAAATACCACAGGGACAATGACATTCAGACACGTAGATGTTTTCATTTAATCAAGTAAAGATGAATGTTATTATTATTTCAGTCCTTTTCAGAGACTGTGAAAGTGGAGAAACAGAAACAAAGTTGTGCCACTTAGATGGACAGAAAGCTTCCACTGACACTACTGACCTACATGAGACACAGAAAAGAGAAAATCATTGCTGTCAGCTTTAGAGGACTCGGGTACTGTAGGGATCACAGGTGAGACAAGATTGTTAGGGCGTAACAATTTATCCAATTTAAAAACATATCATTTGAAAAATATACCATTCTAGCTATTTATGGCTTAATTTAAAGGGATCCAAATTCCCTGAGGTGGAGTTTTATGGACCTCAAGATTAGTAGGCTTCCACAGGTGTTCTAACTAACAACACTTTCTTTTGGATTTCCAGATTGATTCATATATATATATATATATATATATATATATATATATATATATATATATATGTGGAGACGTTATTCACAGTAGCGCAGAAGGAGTTTTCAGTTGTACCACTATATTGAGCTGGTGGAAAGGTTAAAAGATACACAGAGATGATTAGTCACATGAACATCAACAACACACAAATTATGATACTTAGGCCAAGAGAGAAAACACAGTTCAACATGTGACCTATTGTGGGACCAGAGAGCGGTTAAATGGCATGAAAAGACTCAGTAATAGATAAACAATCTGTTGGGATGTTGGCAGTTAGCTTCATCCGCATGCATGTTGACATTTCTGACCAATAAAACTTTCTCACGTTTAATAATGGTAAGATAAATAGTCTGTCAAACCAGAGAGAAAAGCACCGGCAGGACCAGGAAGGCAGCAAATGATTAAAACACAATAAAATATTTGAAGAAGCGATCTGGATCCCCTGTGATTTGAGAGAGAGTCAGCATCTACTGTCCCACATGAGAAACCTTGTCTGTGTCCACAAACACGGTGGTTCCAGGGTAGTATCCCAATGAATATTAATAGTTGAGAAACAAATTACGTCTTTCTCCCTCTTGTGGACTATTTGTGAACCACATGCTTAAGATTTTAACTTTTTTTTTAATTCTATAGCAACACAAAGTACCACTTATGCAAGGATTAATTACCCACGACCACAGACGAGGCCTTCTGTCTGTCTCCTGCATTTTTTATTTATTTTTTATTTTAGTTCCTCATCAACAAGCTTGTGAATGCACAGCAAACAGCAACAATTTGAGCTACATCATTACTGGGTGGGCTGTAAGCACGCAACATTAAACAGTCCATAATTTTCTTATGTTTATGCTTTCAGGCAAGATTATGCTGTCACATTTAAAGTGGTCCTGATTATTTGTTTTCCGAGGCTTTTAAAAAGTCTTTCCATGATTTTATTTTCTGTTTTTATTTTTTGTTTTGTTTTGTTTTAGGATGTTTTTGCATTCATCATTCATTTCTGCGTAGTCCTAGTCTTTACTATAAAGAATAAATGAACAATCCCTTAATACAATAAGAAAGTCGATGTAAAGACAGGATGAATGCCAGATCACCTGGATAGTTTGACAGTTGCTCAATGGCTGTGTGTGGAAGATAACATAGATTGTTTTAACCTGTGGTGAACGGCAGATGGCGCATTTGGAGCAGAAATTGCAGACGTTTTGCCGCAACTCTAGCATAAATCCTTTAACATTTGTTCTCTAATATTAAGCATGATTACAGCAAAGTGACCCAGAAAAGAATGAATCGTATTTAGTTTTTTTTTTTTTAAATCATCCGTTTTTATATCTAATGCACATGAATATTATTTTAAATAGATTCTGGAACATAGCTTAAATGAAGCTGCTACGAAAAACTATTGACAAACCATAACATAAGCAGCAAGTTGCACATTAACTTACGCATCTATTTGAAAGACCACCCGTTTATATGTTGTTTAAATATGCAAGCATGAACCAATTTTTCCTCAATAGAGAGGTTGTCAAACACGTATCCAGACAAAGCAGTCTGGATGAAAAACAACCTTCCACAAGAATGTGCTGCAACAGAATATTTTTGAAAACATCCAAATTTCATATTAGCAACATGCACATAGTTCTAGCACATTCAAGGCATTTCTCCAAATCAAATGTGAAATAGCTGAACTTCATGCAAAGTTGGGGGGAAACGTTTTTTTTTTGTTGTTTTTTTTTGCCCATATATGGTCTCGAGGAAGTAGCATGGTGACGCAATCTGTGCTACTGTTACTTTAAATGGCTTCAGGAAACAAGGGCTCCCACACACGTCATGGGTTTTCCTCAGCAAGGCCCCAGAAGAGCAGGATGTACCTAATATGGGCATCTGTCTGTTAACCCCAACCCCCCTCCCCTCCCTCCGCCCTCCCCTTCCTTTTTGTGTTTCCTGCAAAAGGAAGCAGCGCACTGGGGGATGGGTGAGACCAGAAGGAAGCTTGAACTAATAATACAGCTTCTCTTCTTGACTGCTCCAGATAGCTGCAGGAGGGGAATGGCATTCATTCTTGAAGTGAAGGTGGCTAATAATAGACAGGAATTCCTTCCACTCCTTTGACTATTCCCACTCTTGCACTGTAAAACGTGTATGTGCATGAAAATACCGCTCTTTAATAGGATAACCCGAAAGGATTTTTTTTTTTTAAATCAGAATATTCTGACATGTCAATTTCCAGGAAAGGTTGGCAGATTTCTTCTAATCTGTCAGAAGGAAATTAATTTTTAATGTTTTACAACTGACTGAGCTGAAGCCATTTCCACCACTTATAAGAAAGCTGCCATCTAAAATAATGATGAGAAAAATAGTCATAATTTTGACTTTCAAAGTAATATTTTCTCTTTCAATTACCTATTTTTTCCCTTGATAGTCACATCACAATTGCAGCTTTATTCTATAGCTATTACCTATTAGTTTTCCAAGTCGTAATTGTTGCTTTCTGTGTCGTAACTTTGAAAATCAAAATGTTGACTTTGAATCTTACTGTAAAAGACAAACTTACCATATGTATTAAAGTGAAAGTCAAAATCTAGTATTTTCCTCTTAGTTGTGACTGTCATAGTTTTAATTGTGATTTTACACCCATATTTATGACTTTTAAAATCAAAATTCTGACTTAGTCTCATATTCATGAAATAGAAAGTCAGATTTTTTAGTAACATATAAATCTTACTTTATATCTCTCATACTTGTGGCCTTGATTTTGAAAACATAATTTTGGCTTTGAATTACAACATGTCTTTCCTATAAATACCACATTACATTGTTTTATTATTATTGTGCAGGAAATTTATAGCCATATATGTGTGCTTTTCATCAATTTTTGGGTTATTTTAAAGCTGTTTACATCAACAACTTTTATTTACAATCATAGGACTTGCATTCAAGCCAAAGTTATAAGCTTATTAAAAATAGTTCACAGTTGACCCACACAGCCGCTCCACGGCCGATGGGCGGGACTTTGCCCTGTGACTGATGACGCTTGGCGTGTGTGACGTCAGCGAGGTTATAAGTATCTGTCCCGCGTGGAATCTGTATTGTGTCTACAAGTGAAGTTGTGGCAGAGCGACGGGGCCATTGAAGTGATTGTTTTCCTTCCTCGGACTAGTTTCAAAACAAACTGCGAGATGGAGGTCAGCGCCGAGGCCAAGAGGATCATGGTGGTGGCACTGGGCAAACTGTACAGCTCCCGCACGCAGCGTGGGGGTCTCCGGCTGCACCGGAGCCTCCTCTTGACTCTGGTGATGAAATCCGCTCGAGACATTTACCACGCGGCGCAGACTACGACTGAAAGTATGGAGGAAGAGCGCGAGGAACAGCAGCCCTCTGAGGTTAAGATGACCACAGAGGCGAGCGGCACTCAGGAGCTCCAGGGTCCCGCTTCTCTTCCTCACCTGGCCGCCGACGCGGACGCGCAGGGCGACGCGCAAAACCAGGATGACGCTTGTCTCGGCGGGCCGCCGCACCACACGCGGAAAAGACGGGGCAAAGCTACCGCTGAGCCGGACTTCCTGCCGTGTAAGAAGGCAAAACTGGAGTACGGGACTGCTCAACAGCTCATTGTCAGCTCCGTTTTGGTGGATTACGCAAACTGTTGTAGTGAGCTGGGACCTTCCCCGAGCCCCATCCCCCTTCAGACAGTCATAGCAGCGTGTTGAACACCCTGAGAGAGGACTTTTGAAAGTTTTCTACTCGGCCCCGTGGGAGCCATGATGAAACGGCCCCGCTACGGTGCGCCTGTTCCAGTGTCTGGGCTGGGGTACACGCCAGGGACAGCGAAGGCCCTGAAGGGGACAGCTTGGGCTCGGACCAGTTGGATCGCTGCAGTTCATGTGACTCCATGCCTCATAATAACTTCATCCGAACACAGGCGGAACTTCTCAAGGACTGGGACCATTTCTGCCTTTCATCGACTCATTTCACATAAACGTGAACTCTGTTGCTGCTTCACATGGCAAACTGAATATGAGCTTGTTATTGTCTACATCCTGACTTAACATAGAAGATGTGATCAAGTGTAAAATTCTCATTGACTGCAACTACCTCAGTATTTATTAAAAACCTTTTGTACTTGAAAACAGTCTAGAGTTTTTTTTTTTTGTTTTTTTTTTTTTTTTTTTTCCCCTCTTTGGAAACGTAATTCAAAGAGATCCACAAAAGTGATTTGCATTTGGGAAAACTGTCTGTGTGAAAGTGGTGCCTTTGGAACCTTGTTTGGGTGCTTAGAAGTTATTTTCCTTCCCCCACAGTTTCACATCCCCCCATGCTGATTAGCACAATAAAACCAAGGAGCATTCAGGAGACTGCGGTCCTAAAGAATGAAGGGGGGGGGGGGGGTTGCCATAAAGCCATTGACTGGCCAAACACTGAAAACAATGGGGGGTTTGTTGTTCAAGTATTACTACATGATAGTGAGTTGGAGTACACTTTTTTCCCCTTAAGAGCATTCAATTATTGTTGCATCATTAATAAAGTGCAATATATATATATATATATATATATATATATATATATATATATATATATATATATAGTTAAATATAGGCAGCTATGACATGAATAATTAAAAGTTTAATGTAACTGGTGTGCAGGGATTCACCAGTAGCTGTGTTTGTTTTGGGGGAAGGGATAATAGCCCAAAAAGGGGGGGCGGGGAGGAATTCAGTAGGGGGTGTGCGGCTGCGTGAGGCCTCAACTGAGAGCTTATTCTTCCGGCTGAAACCGGAGTGCAGTCTGTGTACGGAGATCTAGACGGGACCGGTCATGGCTGTGAAAGTGCAAGCGTCTTACACGTTACACACAGCCTGGTTTCTCTCACCAACTCATCTGTAAAGAGGAATTGCTGAATATTATGACATGGGAAATGTGACCTAGTTCTGATTTATTTTGTTTATTAAGACCTGGGAGTCATTTGTATTTGCATATGTTCACGATATAAAAGCCTGTGCACCGTCCATAACGCTAAGGCCGGCGTATCGCCCAGGTAGAAATTGTGAGGAGGCAATGTGGGAAAAGCAGGATAAGCTCAAAGCTGATCTGAACTCACCATTAACCACTCACAATATAAATATTGTCACCTTCCTTTAAAATAATGGCTCAAGTCATTTTGTGTCTAAATCATCTTTTTGCAATAAAAAGGCGGTGGTGGTTTTGTTTCCCCCAAAATTTTAGTTAGGTGACTATATGCAAAAAAATATACAAAAAATTCTTGTTATCAATCTTCCGGATGATGCAGAGTCTGCAACGTGTCACATTAAACCAATTTATTGAAATTACGGTAATAATTGTTAAAGACAAAGTGGGCATCCACTCAGCTGTGGATTAAAAAAAGCAGGGCATGTGGCGTATGCCTCAGCTGATGCATTGATTTCCTCACTGGGTGACAAATGGTTCCCACCCACTCAGACCATTTAGCCTGTCTCTTTTCAGACGCAGACATTAGAAAAGCAGCTACATTACATTTATGGGTATGTGCAGTGCTTGCCTATAATGCTGACATACATTTTACATTTTATAATCTCGTTTTTAACACGGCTGCTTGTTCATACCCATCAGTTCCCCTTTTTAAAACATCAGTACTTCTAGAATAGCCATATCACAATTGAACAATTTCAGTAAATTCTCTAATTTGTATTTATTTTTTTTAACCCAACATAATAGTTTTCAAAAAGAGTATAAACAATAGGTTTGCAGAGACAGTCTAAGCTGTATTTCATGTTATTTATAAATGTGACAGAAGTGGGGACATCTGAAGTGAAATGTTTGATTTTGATATTCGATTATTCTACAGCTGGAATATCGATGACATTCCGGCTTGTTGGTCTACATAAAAATAGACCAGTGTTCATTTTAAACATGACATAGCATGACAATAGCCGTCACTGTCAGAATTATTTCGGTAACTTCAGTGAGGAACTAACCATCCATTTGCTCACATCGATGCACAAAAA